TATTTTTGAATTAATTCCTGTGACTCCTCATGCTTTTCATCTCGGTCCCTCACAAATTCATGTTGGTGAGTCACCACCATTCATTTAATCCAGGCTATTTTTAAAATCTTGCAAGCTGATGGTTAAATACGTGATATGCTTTATATTTAAATGTAAACATAAAAAAACTGTTTTCCTACCGAGGGGACAGAGCCAATCCTTTATGCTCTGGCGGTCATAAAACTGCATGTTGCTAAACGGCATTAATACTATTAAAACAAACTAAATTCCTCCAGCTTTTCCACATACTGACCTTCCAACCTGATTTCTTAGACGACATGATGAGCCTTTTTTGAAATGTTTCACACTTCTTTGTGTTTTTTTCTGAAACTTTATGTAATTTTCTCATTTTCTCTTCCATGTCCTATTTACAACCAACTAGACAGCATAAAGTACCTTATTAATCTTTTCCATTTTTAGGTTTTTTTCAAGACTAGATTTTTTTCAGTGTTCAGTCCAGTTTTCTATATCTAGTAAAAAGTGTCCCAAATGTTTAAATTCAGTAATCAAACATCAAATACAGACTCATTTTAAAAAAGTACCTTGGAAAGAGTTGAGGACTGTGAAAATGTAGGTGGCTATCATCCGAAAGTCCCCGTAGGCGAAGAAGGCAAAACCCCACGTGACCCCGAGCTGGAAACAAAGACCCATGATGATCACTATCCTGCTGCCACTTCTGTTTTCCTTTGGGCTGGCTGCCTTGGTTTTCTTGAGACAACAGAGCCAGGACAGAATGATGATGACGGTGGTGATGGTGAAGAGGAAGACCAGCGAATAGTAGCCAATGTTGACAACGTAGTGGATATCATTGTCCGTTATCCAGCACCTTTAAAAAGCAAGACAATGCAACTTTTAGTGAATCCTAAATTCAAATGATTGTATGTCTGGAGGAGATATCTATAGTCTCACATTGCCACGTTGTTGTCAGGGTCATCAGTGTAGATGGTCTGTTTACCGTATTTTCTCAAGCTGCCCAGAATAATCACCAAAATACCGGGCAGAGCTGGAAAAGCAGAAAAAAAAAAAAGTGACAAAACTCATCTTATAAAGTAAAGTCATCTGAAATATAAATAGCATCACATAATACTTCCTGCACTGTACTCTACATCCCAAAAACATTAATCAAACTTTTCAAAAGCTTAACAAGTACTTTAAAGGTAAAGTAGAAGGTGTTCTTTTTCTGGGTGGATCATCAAAATAAGTGGTCCTGCTGATTGTCAATCATTCTGGTGATGTTTGTATCACCAGAATCCTCTGATATGTTTAAGTAAGGCCGTCCTACGTGCTTGTCCCTGTCAGGACTCCTGTTTTGTGTCTGTGTTTTCTGTGTTTGTCTCCCTTCATCCACCAGGAGGCGCCCGGTTCTGGTCCGCCTCCTCACACACCTGCTGATGGTCTTCTCATTAAACGGAGTGTTCTTAAGCTGCTGACTGCCACTACTTCGACGCCAGAGTGTTTGCCAGTTTAGGGTACTCTAGCCAAGCTGAGTTTGTTGAGTCAAGCTGAGTTTTTCTCAACCTGAGTTTAACTTTGTTTGTCTTTGCGTCTTGGCAGGAAGCCATCCTGCTAACTGGATCTCTCGGACCTACACACCTTGGAAGGATAAACTGAGCTTCAAACTGAGCTGGGATTCAAACAGGAGGTTTGGATCCACTTTCCCCAAGAGATCGTTTGAGCTTCTCACTGAGAAAGGGATTATTCTCCACTATGACCGTTCAAGTCCCGCAGGAAATCTGAGTGGCAGTCAGTATCTCCGTTCACCAACTATCAACCGCATTCTGGGTAAAACCTGTTCGGCCCCTACCGAATCAGACAGACACTGGAACCACAGCACACAGACAGGAGTCAAGGACACAACAACTTCACTGGAGTCGGCAACCAAAACCTCTTCTCCAAGTTTCACGAGTCAAATTCCCCACTGAGCCTGAACTAACCACTGTGTCTTCCCCTCACTTTGCAGTTCCGGTTGAGCAGTGTTCAGAGCAACACTTCTTCCCCTGTTTACTTCAAATAAAACCGTTAAACCTTTTACCTGGTCTATCTGTTCGGTTTTCTGCATTTTTGGGTCAGAACTTTGAAACATCATGACAGTCCCATTAGCTATCTTTTTCTGCGCACGCACACTTTCAGGCTTATATGTGTGGTGAGCTGCGGTTTTAGACAGTCATTGGAGCTCATCTTTCTCAACGCTTTTCTTTAAAAATGGCAGAGGGTCGTAAGAGATAAAGTGCCTGCTACGGTAAGTCTTTTTAAAAATTTGCAAAAATCCTCCACAATTAAAATGATCCTTAAATGTATCTTTACAATGAACTTTATTAATATTTCAATGGAGTCGATAGTTTCCATAAACTGTTCAGTTTTAACAAAGTTATTGAAAAAAAATACCTTATGTGAATTTTGAAAGAAAGCACCTGGTCATTTTAATCAAAGTCACATAAAAGTACCTGGCACCTTCCATAATAGTCATTTCTAGGGTAGATTTCAATAACTAACCACTTAAACCCATAAAAGAATTTTTACGTTTCATTAAATTTCCAAGTAAGCCCTCAGAAAGCTGCAAAAAATTAATCTCTAAATTCCTAAAAAGTCCAGGTTTTATTACAGTATGATTTACTTACTCCAGGTGAAAACGGAGACTTTGAGTACGTAGCGCCTTATGGTAATATTTCCTCCCTTGTGCAGCTGCAGACAGAGGTGGAAACCCTGTGCAGCAAACCAGCTGAAAGTGGCCAACATACAGTAGTGCATCACCGCTGCCATCACCTCACAACCCACCTCACTGTTCATGTCTGCCACAAAGTGATTGACGAGGAAAGTTAAATTCAGCAGGAGCAAGGCACAGATCAAGTGGATGAGGATTTGTGTGGCAGTGCTAGCCTGGGTCTTCCTGTGAGGACAGAATCATTAACAGAAAAAGAAACATACAGGTGAGTGATTGTTAAGTTTCCCTGGTATCCAGAGTCTTCCTCATTATTTAAGCTCCACGTAAACAGCTGTAAATCATCTCTACATCTGGAACATTAAAGCAGCTTACATGAAATTAGATACATTGAAATCAAGATGCAACAATAAAATATCTTGTTTTCCTCTATGATGTAACTGCTATCAGGAGGAGTTGCAGGTAAATTTGAGTGCTTCCTATATAAAAAAAACAAGCTGATAAAAAAAAAGGGGAGCGACTTATTTTGCATGATGTGTGCATTTATGCACACTAGGGAGTTTTTCTGCTGAATTCCAACAATGAAGCCACAGTTCAACATTTCCATTTTCATGCTGTAAATACTTCAGAGAAGAACTCTCCACAGTGTTTTAGTCAGCCAGAGAGGCTGTTATATTTACATAAACCGTCTATTTACCTTGTTGAAACAACAACTCTATTAAACTAAGGAAAATCTATTTGCTGATAAAATTACTGAGATCTATGGAGCTGCAAATATTCAAATCCTCCAACATTTTGTTGTATAAACGACAACCTGAATAAATACAAAATGACTTTTTTTAATGGCTTTAGTTATGATCAGAAAGTGTTGCTTAAACCAAAGTGGACTATGTGGAAAAAATAAATAATTCCCTTTGATAAACCGAGCTTATCGCACTTGTAGAATAATTGGAATAGAGCCTGTCTGATAACATGAAAGATAATAAAAAAGTCAAGCAAAGCAAAATAAATTAAAGAACTGATGAGAAGCAAAGTCAAAAACATCTACCAGTTATGAGAGGATTATACAACAATTTATACTTCTTTAGGAATCCAATAAACAACCATAATCAACGCATGGAGAAAACATGGAAGAGAGAACTTTCCCAGTAGTCAACTACTTTCCAACTTTTTTTTTTTTTTTTTTTTTACGATGCATCAAGGAGTCATAAAAGAATCAAACACAGCATTGAAAGCACTTCAGACCTGACTTGCCTCAGTTAAAGGTATTAAAGAGGAAGGCATTCTTGCGCTTATGGTTCCCCCCATAAAAAAATAAACTCTGGCAGTGATGGGGCCTACAAAACATCAGCCAATCCAATTTTCCTACAGTCGAAAGGGTGTTGACTACTTGTTTGTCAATCAAAAATTTTGCATAGGTGCCGCCATGACCTTTTTACATAGGCTCCAAGTGAAACTCATGCGCTATGTTCAATAATATGAAAGAGAGGGGGAAAAAACTATCCATCACTGAGAGGATGAAGGTTTTATCCGTTGAGAAAAACATCCTGTTCATCCCCGAGATTATGAAAATGTTCGGTCGCTTGACCAGAACAAAGTGCAACATTATTGAAAGTGTGTGTTCAGTTTTATCTGGCATTAAACTAACAAAGCATAAAAAAAAAAAAGGAACATGACAGAGGTTCTATGCTGCTTCAGGATGTGGATGAAACTATATATTGAACCTTGAATTCTCTTTTTCTTTTTTCCCCTGACAGGTGAAAAAGTCACATCCTACAGTTTTACCAGTTTTAACGGCAAACACATTGTAGTTATGTAGCAGGAGAATAATCAGGATCCCGACAGCAAGTCACCCTTAAAATGATTTAAAAGTAAAATGAATGTTTTGAGGTGGCCTAGTTGAAGTCAGAGTATAAATATGATTGAGATGTTTTAGCTGAATTATAGCAACATTAGCCAGTTATTTAAGGAGGACCTGGAGACTCACAAAACAAAACCAGCCAAACAAAACCAGCCATTTGAATGTAACATTTAAATCATTCAATTTGAACTCCAATTTGAAAAACATTTTCTAATTGCTAATTTTATAGTTGACTATTATAGAGGAATTGTACATCGTATTTATTAATCCATTATTAAATAATGGTATATGAAAATATACTTTCAAATACTTCTAAATTGAAATTTTAAAAAACCAGTCATAAAGTTGATTATAAACATCGTTCCTAATCACACATTTAAAAAGGTTATTCTTATTCCACTTTCAAATCCTTCTTGCAATTGCAAATGTTTTTTTTTTTTTTTTGCTTTACCCTCTTCATTTACCTTTTACTGATCCATCTACCCCTAGAGCACACTGGAAAACAGTTAAACTTTGTCATTTGTTAGACTGCCACACTTTTTTAATAAAATAACCAATGAGGGAGCCGGTTACGTCTCAGGAGCAACTGTGATTGGTTAAAGTGGTTTCCAGCGTGCACTGGACCAAAAGGTTCACAGAAAAGGTAAAAGCAGCGGGTAAAGCTGAAAGAAATGCTCCGGTCTTGCAAGAATTTAAAAATTCAAATTCAAAAAGAATATGAAAAATGGAATAAGGAATAACTCTTGTGAATACCTCTATATGTTTAGGAATTTTGGTTTTTAAATCTGCATAGGATAACAAATAACAAATAGGATTTGAAAGTACATTTTCAAATTCCATTACTAATATTGGATTAATAAATGCAATGTACAATTTCTCTTTAATAATTTATTTTATTTTAAAATTTGCAATTAGAAAATGCTTTTCAAACAAAATTTTAAATTGCATGATTTTTATGTTAAATTTTAAACGGCTGGTTTCCTTTTTCAGCAAATCTCTAGGACTGCCATAGTTATTAAGGCTAAATCTTTCTTTGATACTCTGACATGACAATGAGACGATTTAAAGAAACCAAGCATAGGAGGGAAAGCTAGAGCGCCACACAGCGCAGTTAGAGGGTACACAATCTTTGCAGAATAAAAAACCTGGATGCTCTTGCTACGGTGAAACAGTGCGTCCCAACATGCAGCCTCCTCTCAGGAAGCAAAAAAAAACTAATTATAGGCGTTTTGACGGTCTATAACTTTCCTTCACATTTTTTCATTTAAGGTTGCATTTAACGAAGGTTGCATTAAAGTGTAGCCTCTAAAATGGGTCTTTAATTTATTGAATCTAAACATGTTCAGTAGTGTAAAAGCCCTTATTCATTTTATTCTTGTAGTTTCAGGTTTCAAATTTTCATATTTGTTCTAAAGTGCTCTTGGGGGTTTCTAACGCTTTCTGACCCAAAAGCTGTCAATTACTAAAACATTTAAAAAAAACTTGACCTGTGGATCTTTCAGATGAAGTGTCCCCTGCCTAAAGGGTGGAAAAATATTGGGGTCGGCACATTACAGACAACTTTGCAAATAACTGACATATAGATTTGATTGATTGAATTTCCCCTTTGATGAACCATTTATTTTCTGGGCTGTTTTTTTTTTCTTTTGTTTCTTGGTGGTAGAACAAACCTGCTGCCGTCTTGTTGCTCCTCCTTTTTTTAGCGTCGTGGCGTCATATTATTTGTTGTGTTGTGCTGTTATTATCATAATGTTATCATTACATGTTTTTTATATTTTGTTGTTGTGTTTTTTGTTCTTTTGTATTCTTCCTATTTTCTTACTGTTTTTTTATTCTGCTTTATTATCCTCCTTTTTTTGTTGTGGTTTTTTTTTTTGTTATTTTTTTTTTTCTTTCTTGCTGTGTGTTGTGTTTTGTGTGTTTATTTTTCATTACTTTCAATCTATTTATTGTTTGTATGAGACAGTGTGTGTCAAAGTGATGAATTTATCTTTATTTTAAAAGTCTTATGCTCTCCCTGAAAACGAGAAAGCATTTTTGTTTGATGCTGTAGCGCATCTATTGTTTACACTCCGACTGGTGTAACTAGGGAGTACCAATATGGCAGCTGATGACTTCACAGCACTTGTTAGCAGTGTTACCAACAGCCTATCAGCAATGTTATAGACAGAAATTTGAATGGTAGCATATAGCAACATATGATAGGTTGGTCAGGTACAACATACTTGAAAAAGCATCAAAAGTTGCCCCCCAAAATATCTGGGAGATTCATTAATCAATATGACTTATAAAGATCACAAAACAGTCTGACTTTTTAAAAGGAAACAAGGGAATTTTGTTTCATAAATGATCATGTGTTTGTTGCATTGTAAAAAGGTATTATTAAGCATTTGTTTTCAATTTTTCTACCTTATAAGGAAGTACATGAAGAGGATTATGCCCAGGAAGAAAATGGAAAAGCCGCAGCCGACCTGCGTGATCATAGTGAGGATGTTAAGGTCGTGACTGGAGATGGTTTGATTAAGGGGAGTCTGGAAGATACAAAAGCAGAAAAAAGTTAACACAGAGTCAACCGACAGTTCATTTCATAGCATTGAATCGATTGATGATTAATATAAAAACGCACCAGCAAGACAGCAAAGAAGGTGAGATGTGAACACCTGCATCTAACACCATCATTATCTAAGATGGTTGTACATCCTTCTACAGTCCAGTTGGGTTTACTTCCTGTAAGTCAGAAACACCGTCGTTACGCGTTGCTGATAAGACCGACCAGAAGCGAAAACAAATGGACCTACACACACAACCGTTTAATCACCATATATTTTGATTCTGTGTGTTTTTTTAGTGCGTTACATTATAAGATAGCTTGAAATTTGCAGCTTTTCTTTTCAGCATCATCACTTCTGGGCATAACTAATAATTCTATATCTGCACATGGTGAACGGTTCTTGCTATTCATTTATTGTTATTTATTAAATTTATCATTTAAATTGTTGGATGTTTTTTAAGGATAATAAAGATCAAGATGAATGAATAATTTAATGTTATTTATTGACTGTGCAATATCCTGTGCAATATGCTGAAGGTGCAATATTTCTCCACCTGTATATAAGCCATCCGGATTGTACATATTTTTATTTCTTATTTTATTTTTCATTGTGTACACTTGCACCTTAATCCTATTTATCTTGATATACTGTATATACCGTATATTGCTTATTCTTAATGCACCTTTTTCCTCCTTGTTTGCACCTCCTGTAACTTCTATGCCAATATGTGACGAATTTCTCCACTGTGAGATCAATAAAGCTTATCTAATCTAATCTATCTGGCTGTACCTTACTTTTAACATTAAGATCTTTGACTTTCATATGAACGGGACACATCAAACCTGTTTAGATAATCCTGAACAGATGTATGCTAAAACGATAGTAAAAGAAGTTCAAAATGTTTATTTATTTGATTTACTTGGTTAGAATTGGTTATATGTCAATTCTTTCTTCTTTAGATATTATGGTTATTAGGATAAAGACACATTTCACAAATATATTGTTTCCTCTGGTCACTACTCAGAATTTTTGCTAATTTATCATGAATTTTCTGAAACACATTACTTTCAAAGTTGCTCAGGGTATGCTGAAAATATTTATTAACCATCGAGATAATAAATCCCGATTTTACATTTGTTGCTGGACACTCAGTGTGTGTGTTTCTTTGTGTTTGCAATTGATGCGATATATTTAAGAATGCAAAATAATTGAAGCTGGAAATAAAACATATGGAATGTTAAAAACTATGGGAGAATTATCCTGCCATAATGCAAGAGCACATAATTTCAATTTGAGAAAAGAATTTCATCTTCTTGCACTCAAAACTTATATTTCTCCTCTCGCTTGCCTCCTTCTCTTCGCGCACAAACCGTGCTCTGCTCGAGTCTCAGATACGCTCGCAAACACGTAGGCTCTGCTTGCAGATTTTTTTTGCTCTCTCTCGGATTGCAGTTGGATCGTAGGGTTAAATAAGCGCACCCTTTCTGAGGCTGTCGTTCTATTGGCTGGAAAGGTTGCTAGGCAACGATCCAACCGCAATCCGAGAGAGAGCAAAAAAAAAAATCGGCAAGCAGAGCCTACGGGTTTGCGAGCGTATCTGAGACTCGAGCAGAGCGCGGTTTGTGCGCGAAGAGAAGGAGGCAAGCGAGAGGAGAAAATATCTGTGCAAGAAGCATTAAATCTGAGAGGAGAAACAAAGATTTGAGAGAGAAGAGAAAATATTTGAGATAGAGCGCATGTTTGGAGTGTGAGCATTATAAGTTTTGAGTGCAAGAAGATGAAATTCTTTTCTCAAATTGAAATTATGTGCTCTTGCATTCTGGCAGGATAATTCTCCCATAAAAAACAGATCAAACTAAACCCTATTTTTTCCTGATTGACATCCACTTTTATTGGATTTTATTTATGCATTCTGTTCCTAAAGCCTGTTTTTTTAGTTTTACATCCTGATTACGTAAATGGAAAAGCCATTTAACCCTAAACATGTTTATTGTTTCCGTTTTTCCCCATTTACACACCGCAGCTGAAAAACTGAAAATCTAATATAGAGCTTTGCCAGTTCACACATACCCAGATGCAAATTAAAAAAGAGCAAATTACCTTCACCATTCCATGACCGACAGATGGGTTCATACTCTTTCTTTAAATTTCTCTGTGAAAAACGAAAGCAAAACCACAAGTCTGCTTAAAAAAAGAATCAGATTTTAGAAATTAAAGAGTTGATTTTTTTGACGATAAACTTACAAATTTTGATTCATTCAAAATATTAAAGTTGATGCTTATTGTGTCCGTGAGATTCTTGATCTCAGTGCCCATCTCTATGGCCACAACCTCATTATTTAGTACACTACTGTTACTTTCATCCTGGACATTAAAACAGAGGAATTAGAACATTTCAACACATGCTTGATTAAAACTGTGGATCAAAATATATATGATTAAGGTCATTTTCTATTACCTGAGACAAATTCATAAACCTGAGAACAGCTGCAAAGGGTAAAGTGATGTTTGAACTGAAAGCCTTTTCAAAAGCCTCCCTGGGAATGGAGACAGACCTCGAAAATCCTTCAAGATACTCACGGTCTTCTATAATCTAGAAGAAAGGAGACAGGACTGCTTTCACCAGCTGTGTACAGCTATATAAAAAGTTAGGTAATCATGATAACAGGCAGCTGGAAACATACATCAATACTTAGATAACTAACCCAGTTTTTGCAGAATAGATAAAAGTAGACTAAACAGGTGAGAGGTAAATAAAAGGACTCACTTTGAGTTTGTCATTTGGATCCTGATAAGCAAAGGAAACTTCATCCAGTTCCTGAGGATTGGTTTGTCTCACTATGATTCCCTCAACCCCTTTCCCTACTGACAGTTCAGCTGAAGTTCCATTCATTTTGGAGATTAAATTTCCCATTTCAGACATGAGTTGACTGTTTGAAATATGAAGAGTATTTTCAACCACAATCATGTAAAACAGTTTTTACAAAAGCCTCATTTTATGTCTCAAACAACAACTTAACTGATATCAAGAAGACTTATGAATGAATAAATATTTTAATTTATGGCTGACTAATTGGTAAAGCTGTTTTTTCAATAATTCCAGTAGTAGTTAAACTCAAAATATCTACCAGCTATTAAAAGTGTATTGCAGAAATCATTGAATGCAAAGGTTTGCTCAGTATAACTGTTAAATTAGGAGCATTTTTAAAGCATTTATTTCCCAATAAGCATGTCTTACACAGCTTTGGTTGCTTCAATTTCTTCTCCTTCAGCTACGATAGTGGTATTCATTTGAATCTTCTCATCAGCCGCTTTTACTGGATTGTCACAGTTGATGCAGAGGGGTGGTGATGCTGTTAGGTTCATTATGTATTTGTCGTTGTAGACTGCAGGTTAAAGAAGCAGAGTAAAGAATTAATTCATTGTCTACAGGTGATCACCCTTACAGGGCTGTGAGGCGGTTGGTTTGCGTTTCCAGTGGTCACTGGTGCACCCAGATCAGGAGTGTGTCCATCTCAGGGCAACACAGAGACAAACAGGACAAACATTCACACCTAGGAGTTTAGAAAGACAGCTTAACATACGGTTCATGTTCTAATGTCCATGTAAATGCCAAAGCATAGGAAATTATTGCTAATCCTAACATCTCAGCAGAGTTTAACCCCAAGCAAAGGATACGATGTTTATCAAAAAATATTTGGACTTTAACTATTCCAATTTATTCAACCTGTATTCTTCTAAGCTATTGATAAAAATAGTGAAATATTTCATATGATATCTCCTATAAGGCCAGCTAAAAAACAACTTTTTAAGTTTTATCAGATATATTGAAATTTGATGCCCATATTAAGAAAATGACGAAAATTATAAAGACAAATATAAACTGTTTTCGAATGAATCGACCATGTGTATCAAATCAAGCTGCACAAGTATATTTACATGCAATGATTTTATCCCATATGTCTTATTGCTCCATCGTTTGGGCCCAGGCCACAAAGTCTGTTTCAAAACCTTTACTCTCACTTCACAAGCAAGCATTAAAAATATTCGATCAAAAACCGGTAAAGTGGCATCACTGCAAAATTATTAAAAAATACAACATGATGACATTTTAAAATTTTATAAATTTCTCATTTTTAAAAGCTATTTTTAAATGCCTTAATGGTCTTGCCCCTAAAGTAATCTGTAAATTTGTTTAAAGTATGAAAATAAAGG